AAGGCATCGCTCTTTATTGCCAGTTATTTTGTGAACAATCTCTATTAGGGAAGATGAAATTCTGGATTGAATGATATTTGTGTAATTATTAAAAGTATTTAAAAGTGATGTGAAGGTGTTGTTGAGTACATCCTCTAGTTTAGTTTAGTGCGCTATGTATCTGGCTCTGTATGAAGAGCTTAGCTGATTAATAAGATTATTTTTGGTAGCCAAGATCGTGTCTATAATTTTCAAGGAGTACAATAGATATGTCTAAATATGAAAAGCAGTTTCAGTAGCAACGTTGCAACCCACATAAGATCAGTGTTTATATAACTTAAGTCGTAATAATGTGAGGTGTAACAGTGAAGGAAGTTCATCAATGAAGTTTTTAATTATGAATGATTTGAGCTTATATAAAGTAAAGGATGTAAAGAGAGAAGAGGTGTTTATCGAAAAAAGGTTCTAGATAGCGAACTAATTGATAGATTTATTGATTGTGAGTATTCTGAGTTTATCATTCCTGTTCAAATCCAGAAAGTTACCAAAATGGTTTATTTTATTAATTTATTAACATTACTTAAATTTTAACATTATAATTCTAGAATCTATTGGCTGGATCTTTGATATAGTATTCAAAGGTAAAAAATAAATCTCAACATATTGAAAATTTAGATCATTTAGTTTATGACTTATATAATTATCAAGTAACAATAAGACCTATTGACCTCCATATTTTTATGTAAAATTTCTTCTTCTTCTGTTTTATTATTCATAGACTTTATTTTGGATCAAGTATTGTTGATATTAAGTAATCTTTAGATAAAACTTTCCAATAAAAACACATAGTATTATAAAGATTTCTTACTTTATCTAAAAGATCTTTAGTTTCTAATAATTTATCTAAATTAAATTTGTTATTTTTTATTTGATTATTATTATTTTCAATAACCTTATTTTTTAATGTTTCTACTTCTTCTATTATAATAAATACATTAGCAGTATTTTCAATTTTTGATATATTTCTGGTATATTAAAAGCTGTTACATGTAATGTAGGTGATGTAGATGATGTAAATAATGTAAGTAATGTAGATGATATAGGTGATATAGGTGATATAAATATAGATAAATTAGGTAAATTAGATAATAGTAAAAGTAATAAATGTTTAATTTGTTCAATTATTGGATTCATAATACTATGTGTAATATATTTTTCTCTACCAAGATAACCAGTTACTTCTTCAAATAGACCAAGTGTAATAACTAATTCTTGTAAAAGTTCCCATTCATTAGAACTTAACATGATTTTTTCAAGTTGCTTTCCATTTTTTTTTGCATCAGTATTTTCATTATTTACTAATTCTACAATTAGCATTTGAATATAATCTTTGATTTTAATTAACCTATTTTAAGCATAATAACTTGAATTCCATCTGATTGAAATATCTGCAATTATTTGAAAAAATATTCATTAGTTTTACCAACATTCTAAATATTATAAAAATTATTATATAAATATAAAAATAATTTGAATAATTAATAAACATAAATTATAAAATTAAAATCTTACCATATCAACTTTATTTTGTGATTTTTTTTGAATTTCCTCTAATCTTTGATTTTGTTTTGGTCTTAAAAAAAAATCAATCAATTTTTTTGCTCTTAAAACTAAAAATTTAACAGAAATTAACCCTTTTTCTACTACTAACTATAATGTGTATGCAATATATGGTTGTCACTTTATATTTGAAGTAATTTTATTCATTTATTTTATTGCTTTTTTCATATTTGCCTTATTATCAGTTACTATTACATTTGTTATATTTCTTAAATTCCACTTATCTAAAATAATAAATAATGCATCAGATATATTTTATGCATTATAAGAATATCTAATATTTTTAATTGTAAGAATAATTTCATGAATAGTAAAATTTTTATCTAAGAAAGAACAAATAATACCTAAAAATCCTAATCTATTTCTATCAGTACATATATCAATAGTTAAATTAACTGAAATTGCATTATCTTCAATAAAATTTTGAATTAAGAGAAGTGTATAATTATAAGCATTATAGATGGTTTGCTTAATTAATTTAACATTTGGAATTTCAAATGCTAAATCAAGTTCTTTTATAAATTTTTGAAAAGATTCTGATTATGTAATATTTAAAGGTTGAGTATCAAAAATTATCCAACTAATTAATAAATTACAAAGTTCAATTTGACAAGACTTCTTATGTGATGTAACTCTTAACTCATGAGATTTTTGAGGCTAAAAATATATTAAATAATTAATTAATACTAAATTATTATATTTAAATAAATAAATTACTATTTATTTAATTT